GGCTGCGCCTGCCCAGGTGTGCGATATTTTCTTTCACATCTTTGTTGTAAATGAGACAGCAGGAGTGTGAATTTGAGTCTTCCTGTTCTTGAGAACACGTAAACCCAGAATAATTCTGCAGTTAGAGTACAGTTCCTTTAGAACTCTCAGAGTTAAAGCTTTTGCCTGTCTGTGTTACCAAGAAAAGTCATGTTGGGTGTTAGGAAAGGATTCTTCACCAGTGGTGGGTGTGGAACAGATTGTCCAGGACAGTGGTCGTGGCCTCAGGTGCCAGTGTTCAAGGAGCATCTGGATAATGCTCACAGACATAACGTTTAAAATTTGGGTGGTCCTGTGTGGGGGCAGGAGTTGGACCCTTGTGGGTTTCTTCCAACTTAGAGCATCACAGTATATTCTGTGATTCTGTCATTACTGCATGTCAGGGGGCTTCCAAGGCTGCCAGCCATTGCTGGAATGTACTTCGTCTGGCATTCCTGCTCCTACTCATCCTCTGTCATACGGATAAGAGGCCTTTTTCTTACTCTCTGGATACAGTGAGGATGTGGTGAGACACCTGGACAGTTGTTGAGGTGTCCCAGAGGTCTGGTTTGTAGCATTTCTACCCCTTCAGTAAATAATCACTTTGCCTTTAAACTGTTCTCATCTGATATCGGATTAAGCCTGTAAAAAAGCCCACTAACTTAGAATATTCACAAATGACAAAGGAGAGGAAAGAAATGATAATTTGAATAAAAAGAGAGACTACATTTACTCTATTTGCACCGTAATTAGATGTCAGTTCCCACCTTCAGCTAACTTTCTTTTTTATTCTGGGTAATGTGGTTGTTGAGATTTCAGCTTTCCTGCATGCTCCTGTCTCTTAGTGGACAACCCTACGTATCAGTCGACCTTGTTTTCCAAAATTTCTAGGAGATTTAGGTGGATTTAATCTTTGCCTAAAAACTAGCAGAATATACAGCCTAAGAGAAGACCAAAAGTTTCTTTCTGTATCCCCAAGTTACCCTGCACGCCTAAATAATTGCAGCTGCAGTTCAGTTCCTCCTGCATGCTGGTTATGTATCTTCCTGGGGTACCAGTTTGGAGGGAGGGAGTAAAATTAAACAATGACCTAGGTTAGAAATGACCTAGGTTTTCTCCAGGGAGCAGCTGTAGCACATCAATTCATGTTCTCAGGTGTGAATACCTCTGAATCACTGGAGCTAAATCCGGGTTTGGGGATCTGTTGGAATGAATTCTTCATGTAAATATTAAAGTTTTCTATCCCTATTAAAAAAATAGAAAAGGTGTTTATTTTCAGATTCTAAAAATAATTTCCTGAATTGGAGAAGTAATGATTAATTGCAAAATAAAGAGGGTGGGAATGAGGAATTACAGTATGAAAATTACAGTATGTTGTAATTTTCAGAGATCAAGTGTGTTGAATGCAGCTTTGCTATCTACTTCCTAGTAACGCATTGTAATTTTGTTAGTCCTAATATGTTTTAATACTAAATCTAGCTATTCTTGACATTGATTTCAGTGCAATTTGTGTAATAGGTCAAGTAAAGTGGTGCTTATTGACTGCTGATTGTATATGTTTTTCCACCTGAAGTGTTATTGTTAATTGACATACTCTTTCATTTTCTTGAAATAATTTTCACTCTATTTGAATAACTGCCCGTAATTCCCCCTTTGTAAACTGGGTCTCTTTCATGGCAAATATCAAATATAGTTTTGAGAATCAGATAAATTGCAGGCACTAATTCATTCCTTCAGCAACAGAACATTACAATAATCAGATTCAAGCTAATTTGTCAAACATAATTTACCTTTAGTGAATATGTGCTGTCTGCCCCTAACTAAATCACCCATTTCTAAATGTCTTGTAATCTTGTCCTATGCCATTATTTCTAGTAATATTCTTGCAAAAGAATCCTGGCTAACACTAATGGCCTGAAGTTTTCTGAATAATTCTTTGTCTTGACATATTGCAGAATGTTCTACCTCTTACTGTGTGATTACAGATCCTGTATTAAAAGGTATTAACAAAAGTCTGCTCCTTAGCTTAACTCATGAAGACTGTAGGATTATAGTAAAGGCTATCTAATCATCATATGCTGACTGCTTTATTGGAGCTTGTTGACTGTTGCCAAAGTTGCCTTCAGACTGTTTGTTTTGTAATTACGAGTGTGGTGATATGGATGGTACTTTTTGACGCCTTGTTTTCTTCTGATGAGAGCAAATGGACTAAAGTAACACAACATATTGGACAGAAACCTGAACATCATTTTAAATAGTAGCAATCTGATTTGCTCATAGGTGTACCGCCAGATGATTTGTTTCCTTTTGTTTTTCTATTGAGTAATAGCTCAGGTTCCTCTGTGGTCCCTCTTGTTTCCTCTACTTGGCTCCAAATGCATTTCTCCAGCTCTAAGGTTTTCAAAATGACTGCATAAAATAGCAACATATTAGGAAAGTTTCCCTTCCTGAAATATCATTTTGGATATGCCTCTTCCTCCATTGTCTTTTTCTAGACAGAGTATCATCAGTATCTATCTTCAATTCATTCTTGAAAGAATTCCCTTTATGTCTGCTTTATTGAAATAATGACTACTTTTTGTCATTAACCCCCAAAGCCTCCTTTCCTTGGACTCCCCATGGTAGCCTGTGATCCTCTTCTTTTCCCTGCATACCAGAATTACAGCAGAACTCCTTTCTGGGTTACTTCCATGAAGAAAGTGAAACAACCAGATTTCCAGCCTCTTACTGTCTCTCTGGCAGGCATAGATAGCATTATCCACTGTAATTTTAAAAAGCGTGCATTAAAATCTTGAGGTTATATAGTTTTATTATTACTCAAAGGATTATTCTGTGACCATGAGTATGTTGACTGTATTAAAGCTACATAACTTCTAGAACATGGGGATCTATTCATTGTCACTACTCTTTGCTAAGTCTGTAAATTCTTCCCAGCATCCTGCAGAGAGAAACCAACTTTGTGGCTTTTAAATCCCACACACAGTCTCCAGTTGTCATTGAACTGCCACAAGCTCAGGGCAGAGAGGCATTAGCCAGCACTCCAGAAGAGGGTCACAAAATAAGAAGTAGCTCTTAATATCACTTGACCTTAAATGATTGTGGATACTCTAAAATTTCAGTCTCAAATCCATGGTTACTTTAAAACAGCACTGAAATGAATTCCATCCTACTGATAATTCTGTCCCCAGGTTTTCATTCTACTGCAAGAAATGTCAGGGTTGTACAGGAAGATGCTGCTCTGACCGTTCTCATCTCATCAAGGTCTGGGTGCACTTGATAAGCTCTATATACACATCTCCTTCTCTAAATGAGAGGATTGGTATATTTGAAAAACCCTTGGGGGATCCGGAAGGTTTGTGATGAAGGGTCAGATAGAAAGAACCAAATGATGGGCTGAACAACCATCATTTTTAACAGTTAAGAAGAAACATACTTTGCATGCTCAGTATGCTTGTTCCCAAAATCAGTGAATGATATGTAATATTGAATCACCGTGTTATTTTCCAGAGAATTATTTTTTACAGTATTAGTAGTGTCCTTTGTGGCTCAGATTCAAATTGCAGCTTTATAGAATAGAGGAAAGCTTCCTCATCCTGAGATATAACAAAAATAAATTCACATCCATTCCCTGAAGAAATCTCTATCATGTTACACAAGTTAATATGTAAATGTTTTGAAAATGTGTTTCTTTGGCACCATATTATACATGTAAATGATTACTATTATTTTCTTCCTATGTGCATCTGAAAGCTAAAGAATTACTGTATAATACGCTATATATATATGTGCGCTTTCTAAACATTATAGTCATTTCAGACAAATTCAAGCTAAGCAAAATATCAAACTTTGTTTACTAATTTCATTCTTATCTTTTCTTTTAATATCCTGTCTTGGTTCTCTAGTTATAACGTAGATGCACCTAAAGTTCACTAGAAACATTTGCCATTAGCTCCTTCTAAAAAAATTAAATTTGAGGATAATCCTACCTCCAGAGCTTATTCTGTTCCTGGCCATTGACTGTGACAGTGAAAGGCTCATCTGAAAGCAGTGGAGCATCCCATCTAAAAGCATAAAACATATTACATTTCATGAAAAAGCTCATTCAGATTGTTTAATTCTGGTAATATTGCCTCTGTCACCTTCAAAATCAAAATGTTCTTTCCTGTTATTATAAAGAAAACAACCAAATTGCTTAAAAACCCATTTGAATACACAGCTGCCTTATGTTGCATACTAATTTGATTAAAAATGTTTGTGCCTCACCAGCATTTTTTACATAAAACACAGTGGTGAATTTAACAAAGAAATATATTTATATTTTAGCAGTTTTTGATGATAGAGTACGTTATAGTGTCCTCAATACCCCTGGACCAAACAAAGATCTTGCTGCAGTATTGGAAGGCTTTAAACTGAATGTCTTGCTGTATTTGTTTGCTCAGTGCTTTGGGCACTGTGCCAACCTCATTGTGAATAACTGCATTAGTCAAGTGTATCCAAATTATTACAACACAGCGTCCATCCCAGATATTGCTGTTGAAGCATTTTCTGAATCTTCACATCAGAAACATTTATTTGAGGGGAGAGCTTTACATAAATTCTGGCCAATTTTAATTTTAGACAGAAAATCTTAACATCTTTACAAGTGGCTTGTGTAACTAGGTTTTCCTAGAAAGAATAATTAGAAAGTAATTGTACTACTTTTGTTTACTTATTATGAACACCTTGCCTAAAGAGAGGATCTGCCATGTCGATAGAATGAAGAAAAGAGGAGATAGAGCACAATTCACAGAATTTATTTTTCAGCTTACAGAAATAAGTATTGTGAACAGTCATCTCCCCTTCTTCCATCTTCGCTCTACCCAACTTAACTCCTCATTCCTTGATAGAGATGATGATGCAATAAGTCTTAGTTGATTTCTAGTGATCTAATTGCCTTCTAAAGAGGGACTGCAGTCTGTGTATCATTCTTATCTTTCCTACAGGTGTTCCTCCTCCTGATGCAGAGATGTCCATTCTTCCTCACAACAGCAACTCTTGTGCTAAAATATGTCTGCAAGATATGGAATGTGAAGATAACCATATTCCCACCCTTCCGTTTCAGAATAGCTCAGGTCAAGGTGGTCTAATGGGTTGCAAAATAATCTAGCAATGTTTATCTCTGCAGCTCTTGCTGGCTTATTTCTTATGTTTGACCAATTTGTATTACTCTGCAGTTTCTAGCTCGGCATAACCTTTGTCTTGAAGTATAGTTTAAGCAAGCGAGATTGGACCTGTGTTATAGCTACATGTCATTCAAGAGATGCAGCCTCATCATTCCTGTTACATACACCTGTCAAAACAAAGAAATCTCTCTCCTTCTTAGATTGGAACTCGTTTTCCTTCTACAGTGAACAGTACTTTTCTTTCTCATCTAGCCCTACTGAAACAAGACTTCAAATCGGTACATTAATGATATGTCTTCAAACTTTTATCCTCAGTGTCCTTTACCTTTTGTTCTCAACATCAGCTTCATCAGTGTTATGTTCTCTCCAACCTAAAGCCTCATTTCTAGGAGTGAAAATGCAAGGCTCTTGTACTAGCATACGTGACTGAGATCACTGAAGGATTTGGCATGAGAATAATTTGGATAGTCCTAAACAGTTATGCACCTGATAGTTTGGCCTGGTGCACTACAGTAACCAGAAAAGCATATGTTATTATGCCTTGAAGATCTAAATTATCATCTACTAAACTTGGTTAGAGACGGGAGTTACTCATTCTTTGAGTTGCAGTAATACCTGACAATATATTGAAAACCAAAATTCTCCAAATTTCCTATGAAAGAAACGTTTCAAAACGATTTACTATGAAACATTGACATTTTACTTCATCATGTTTGTCCCTTATCTCTACTCTGAGGTCTAATTAAAAGCAAGCAGTAAGCAGTGTTCGTTCTGATGACTGGTCTCAGCTCAACATAGCAATTTTGGGGTGCTGCTAGCATCACTTCTTTGTTTCTGCTTCCAAACTTCATCAGTGAGAACCGAATGCTTAATTCTAAATGCTGCAGTGCTACCCTTTCATAGTGTAGAGGTTGAATGATCTACCCAACTGAGGAGAGTTTGTTTCTCTGCTATGCAAAATACATGTGCAAAATATAGAAATAGGAATAAATTTCACAAGATTCACTTAACTGGCTAAATAACAAGATTTTCAATATGAGTACATCATTATCACATTTTGGATTTGAAATATTTTGTCACACTAACATAACTCAGAACAAAATTACAAGCTTTAATGGCAGACTACCATATACAAGTTTCCTCAAGGATAAAGTAGTCTTGATTTTTGACACACGAGCAAGTTATTGTCCATCAGCTGTACAATGGTAAGAGCCTGTGAGCACAGTTCTGCAAATAGTACCGTGTACCAGAAGCATGGTAAATTATTGTTCTGTGAGTGAGGGATAAGTGATTTCTCAGTCAGATGTGGATGCACTTGCAGTATGGATAGACAGAGAATTTATGCAGATACGCAAACCATTTAACTAGAGACATAAATACCATGTCTTGTGATGCTATTGATAGGTCTGTATTGCCTTCTGAGCAACACCACAGTATTTCTGTTCCTGCCTTAAATTATCTCACATTGAGTACTTGTTACAGAGTAAAAGAATGCAGTGACTAAACGTCAGAGCAGCTGATGCATGCTAACCTTTTCATGTGTCACAGCCCTCTGACAACTTGAGTTTTACATATGCCTTTGGATTTTTTACATTAAATCATCAATCTGCCAATGTTGTTCCCAAAAGTAACACTCAAAAAATAATTCTGCTGAATGATCAGGGAGCTCTTTTATTTGGGCAAGAATGAACACTTCTGGAATTTTCTTAGATTTTTTTTTGTAACACTTTAGGATTACAGGTGAAGGCATTTTTTCATGAAAAATAGCTAGCTGACCTTCGTTTTGATTTTGATTACACCACATGATGCTATTTATAAATGCATTTTTAGAAACAATTTTTCATTCAGCAAGAACTCAATCCACTTTCCTAAGTAATCTGATATTTTACGTGTACGCTTAACTCTTTGAATGTACTCTGCTTGCCAATAACTAAATATTGGGTTCTATAAATGGTCCAAGACTTCAGAGTAGCTAAGGCAGACATTCGAGATACTCTGAAGTTCTTGTAGTGCGCGTATCCCCCATTGCCAGTGTATATGTATTACTTAAATGTATTGAGAATACAGGTAGCAACAACAGCCTTTTTATCAGACAGTAAATCTGAGAGACACTCAGGCAGATTGAAGGTAACCAGTTTACTTTCGTGCCAACATGTTAATACTCATCAAGAGATTTGACAATACTTTTTACCATTTGAAAGATTCTAGAATCATATAATCTTCTCAGTTGAAAGGGACCTTTAAAGATCATCTAGTCCAACTCCCCTGCAATGCAGGGACACCTATGGCTACATCAGCTTGCTCAGAACCCTGTCCAGCCTGACCAAGGACAGAGTACCCACCACCTCTCTAGGCAACCTGTTCCAGTACCTCACCACACTTCGTGTAAAAAACTTCTTCCTTATATCTAATCTAAATCACTCATCTTTTCATTTGAAACCATTTCCCTTATCCTATTGCAATAGATCCTGCCGTCTCCCTTCTTATAACCTCCCTTTAGGAAGTTCACTTTCAGCTCTCCCTGGAGCCTTCTCTTCTCTAGGCTGAACAGCCCCTGCTCTCTCAGCCTTTCGTCATAGGGAGGCGTTTCATCCCTTGGATCATTTGTGTGGCCCTTCTCTTCATGCACTCTAATATGTCCACATCTTCCCTATACTGAAAACTTAATATCTGGGCAGAGTACTCCAGATGCAGCCTCACCAGTGCACAGTAGAAGGGCAGGATCACCTCCTTTGCCCTGCTGGCCATGTTGCTTTTAATGCAGCCCAGAATAAGTTGGCTTTCTGGACAAGAGCGCACTGCTGGCTCACATCCAGTTTACCATCCACCAGTTTGCCATCCTTTCTATTCCCACCAGATATTTCAATCTGCTTTTTTTTTTTTGTATTTTTGGGTAAGACAAAGGCTTATGATAATTAATTTCTGTCTCTGCCGTGTAAAGCTTCCTCTAGAAGGGGTTGTCTTTGATTTCCTTGATTTTATGGATGTATTTTCTTCCCAGAACAAAGATGTTGTGACAAACAAGAGACTGTGAAGAAAGAATAAAGCCCAAATCTCCTTAGAAAATGGTTCTATCTACTACAATTCAGACATATCTGTACAGGAGCACATAGGAGCATTAAGGACTGTTAATTAAAGATACTATATTAATGTGTGTAAGATAAAATGAGTTCCACTTTCCTTTCTCAGGCATTTTCTTCTATTTAGATGCAAGGTGATCAAAGTATAGCAAACAAGCTGTGAGATAATCTGGTACTTGAAAGATCTTTAGCTACTCTGAGCCTCTGTGTGAGACCCAGAATCCTGCAGCCATTATTTATTTTCAGAATTAGATGGTGAGACAGTTCTAGTTCAGAATTATCACAAGAATACTACAATTTTCTAATGTATTGTCCACGATCATTAAAAGTACTATCGACCTCTGAATACTGAGTGACAATCAGTGCAGAGGTGTCCAGCTGCTTCTTTAAGTCTGGTATTGGGACTTGTGAGCTGGGACACATTGGGCAGATACCCTGCAAGGGTATTTTCTTAAATTAACAGTAGTGAATGGTGCATAAAATTGTCACTAAGATAAATTTATTACAGTACTATTTCTTCTCACATTATTCTGTATGGGGTGCTACCCCAACAGAGTTTCCAATTCAGTAGTATGCCTGAAGCCAGGGGTTTTATCAGCAGTGTGTCAAAGGGTGTCTGGCTCTCATTCATGTATAATTTACTCTTATTACCCAAGTTATTTCTATTGTTCTGCACTAACAGTTGTATATTTTCTAATGAAGGTTTAAATCAACTGGGAACCAGGGTATAAAGAGAATTTCAGTATTTTGTGCCAAATATGGATTGTTTGTCTTCCTGTTAGTTATGGATTGTGAGTGTATTATTGCTGAAGGAGAATTTTTGTTTTTTCCTTTTGCTTAGAGTTAACATTTAACATTTAATAAAACTATATAAACTTTTCAAGTGTTCAAAACAAACAGTGTCATTAAAAAAAAACAAAAACAAAAACAACAATGTCAGATTATTAAAATAAACATATGAACCTATCTAGCCTTCCTAGGTCAACTTTGTGCCATATTAAACTTGCAGTCGTAACTCCAGTAGCGTCTTGATGTTTAGTATGTACTAGCTGGATTTTGGCAGGAGCTGAATAACTTCATAACTGCAGTCATTTATAATATTCACTTCTAAGTTTTGAAATATGTCCAAATTTTATTTGTCTTGCCTGTGTCTGTTGTATCTGCTATATGCTTGTTGTCTCTGACTATGGAGTTGTGTGTGAGGTGAGTAGAACATGCTGACACTCAATGAGCTAAGAACATTTAAACTTTGGCACAGTTGTTTCAGTCCTTCTTTTTCTGTGTCTGTGGGAAGGCCCTTGGTGAAATGGCTGCCTTTTCCAAGTTACCAGCCTTCTGTCAAAAGGCAGGCAGCTGGGACTGTGGTACGTAATGATGGAGAGAGCTTGATGTGCGTCTTCCTTCCTACACAACAAGCACTGGGCTATACTGCCACAGTCACGTAAGCTCTTAGGTATTGGTGATACAGGTAAGTAAAGAGCTGAGTCTGGCTAAGCATCCAGACATAGTGTCTGAGACTCGTTGTTGTTTTTTGCACATACTACCAGCATGTAAAGAATCTTACAATTGCGTCTGAGATTAGCAAGTGATGGTACTTTTTACTGTAATGTACCCTCTCACTGTTTTTTACACGTTGCTTTTATTGTTAGGTACCAATAAGAGATAAATCTGTTAAAGCAACTCATTGTTTTTTTCTTTTTTTCCAGGCTTTTTAATCTTTGCATCTTCTTATTTACAAAGATTAGCCACTGCTTTTGTGTTAAAATTCATGTTTTAGAAAGATAAACCTTTTTTTTTTCCCTGTAGAAATTCTGATATATCAACAAATTGAACCAGCACCAAGGTTCTGTCTTTCACTTCAGATACCTTTTTAAATTGTCTCCTCAACTGGAAGTATAAAAGAGTTATTCAAATACCTACAAAAGCCCTTATTCTTTGAAAAAAAAAAAAAAGAAAGAAAAAAATAGCATTATATAACTCCCACGAGCTATAGGTCTTTGATACCCTTACATCAATAGATTGTTTTCCTAAATGTGCCCACGACTATACACATAAACATATCAATGATGTTTAATATGGCTGCATTCTGAAAGTGTATTACCACTATCAAAAATGTCTGAGAATGAGCGCAGAAAGCAGGTAACATTGGTGAAAATTATTCTGGAGTAAATAAATGTTTAAGCAAGTTGAGTGTAGCTGGTTACTTTTTTTTTTTTTTTCCCTTGAAAACATGACAATTTTTCTGAACTAAATTCTTCATAGGATTTTATTTAGAAACTTCAAAAGGAACATAGGCTTAGGGCCTCCGTCACGATTTCTATTCATGTTAAGTTGCTTAAATGTGCAGGCTGGAGTCTTTACCAACTCTCAAATAATCTAGATGGTTTTTCCAAGGAAAGATTATTGAATATGTGTGCATAGATTTTTACCATTCTCTTCTGTTTAAGTTATACTGGTTTCTGCAATGTAGGAAAATATCCAAACCTGCTCTGAACTAAAGCAGAACAGAGTGTGAGCTTTTATCTTTGACCTTCAAATGAGTGGCATAGC